ACCTCCTTGCGCATTCGGACTAAATTCTCCGCTGAGATCAATTGTGAAATCATTTGAGGTCGCTTGAGTGTTCAATAATTGAAGTGAGAGGTAGAGATCATTGAGCTTGCGCTGAAATTTGTAAGTTTCGTCAATGGATATCTGAGGTTGCAAATTTTTTTACCATGTCAAGTTGTCCGCCAAGTAATTTGAGGAATTGCATTGGGTCTTCACCGCCTCCACTAGCAGCTGGACATTTAGCGCAAAGATTGACAGGAGGTGGCGAAAACGTTGGTGGTGGGGCACCACGCACCTGAGATCAACTTACCGTTTCTGTGAAAAATCATTAAAAGTAGGTGAAACTTACCGGAGGCGGAGGTGGAAGTCGTGGTCCCACGAATCTGCTGCCGCCGGTGAATCCTCCAGGTGGTGGCCCTTGAAATCCACCTTGTTGCCCTTGGTATCCTCCAACTGCAGCCGACGGGTATGGTTGCACACCGTACCCACCACCAGCGCCCCTTTCTAGTCGTACGACGGTCGCAACGCCGGTGGGGACAGCATTAGCATTCGTGACACGATAGATCCGAGCTACTTCTCTTTTCACTCGCTCGGTTGGAATGAAGAGCTAAAGGATGCATATGGGCTTGCTATTAGTCAGCAGTAGACGGGCCAATGACCGAGGTGTGAGCGGTAGCCACGCCTCTTACAGGAACTTTTCGCACATCTGCGAGTTAAGTGCTACACATAGTTATTAGTGTATTTACCGTCTTCCGCTCGTTTCCTTGGCGGAAAGGCACAGCACGATAACGACGTGGAGGTGCAGCGTGCGCGACAGGACGAGACGGTTGTGCAATTTTACGTAAAGTGGTAGCCTGAGGGCACATATGTTATCAATTATGAAGCTCATATTATATGGCTCCTCCTTACCTGATTAGTTTGGTAGACCCGTTGTGGTGTACCTCGTGCCGCCGCGGGTTTCTCATTATAGCTAGCTTGGGGAATCTGTGGTGCTGGGCCTACTGCGGGAGAGACATTGACCGGTGCTGTTGCTGCGGGACCAGGTGCTGGAGGCACAGCAGTTTGTGGAATTGGAAGCTGCGACGCTGCAGGCCCCTTGCATTGACTTTGACACTGCAAGTTTTCTTATTTTTGCAAAATAATCTTACTTAACTTCAATTCCTACATATTGCTGACTGGGTGCTCCACCAAGTCCCATTAATGCTCCACTGAATAGACTGAGCATTTGTGAAACGCCTACGGCCTGTGGTAGACCGGACAATTTCGAATTCACTTTCTCATTGATTATTTGAGGTAGTTGATTGCAGATTTGGCTAGGAATCATCTGCCGTACTTGATTGGAGATACGGGACTGAAATTTGCCATATTAAGGAGTACACTCCATTTGCTGGGCGGCTTACTCTGAATTGCGAGTTGACGATGTCACCAATTAAGCCTCCATTCTCGATGTAAGCGTCTAC